TGCTTTTTAGTTAGTGCCTTGATTCTTAGGTAATTGGCGGGTCTATTCTAATAATCTGGAAATGCCGATTATTAGTTCTCTAAAACGACTCGTTTGCTTATCTGTCTTAGCATATTGATCTCAGACTGCCTAGATACGCATCTCGATCTAGTTCTTTATAAGCAAAACGCATTCTTCACATGCACCGAAAGACCCGTCCCGATCCAGACAGAATGTTCAAGGTAATAACTCTATAAGGCAGTTCTCTATTCATAGATCAAGTCCTGAGTTCTTTTTCATTTGATATGTGAGATGTTACGTTGCCTGGCCCTAGATCCTCTGCGGACGTGTCCACCACGAGTGTCCCCAAACAAGGGGTTAGTGGTCACAACGTTGACTTCGATGTGGCCTCCACCAACCCGGTGTCTTCGGGCCAATTTTATCTATTGTGATCTTGGGGTGCTGTCTTCGCGGCTTATAGACACAGCGTGTCATGTTGACATGGTGTGATTGAGTCAATCAAGCTTTACCATTTCGTCAACATAATAGTCACCAAGTGTTTTTTAGTGGCATGATTGGATCGGTGATATCACATTGGCACATGAGGAGAGAAAAGAACGTGAGATACTGCCTTTCTTTTTCCACTGCAACAGCCAAAACAAAATGAGGCTATAATAGGGAAGATCACGGGTTGTGAGGTTTACTCTTGTATGCACTCAACATGAAAGGGAAAGATTAGAGAAACTTGACGTGGGCCTAAACTCGTCCCTAACAGCCACGCCCTTGATATGCCAATGCTAGTCCAATGATGAATCGTTCACGGAAGAGAGGAAAAGAGAGAATGCGGACTAGTAGGGTCGGCAGCGAAATGAGCGCAGGCGACGCAATGCGACGGAGAAAAATGGGCATGGAGGAGCAACTTTAGATACCTTTTTATTGGCTGTAATAATGTCTTTTGGATATTTTATGGACAGGCGTCGGGTGAATTTGTCCGGTCAGGTGGATTTTACATGACGTCAATGCTGACATCCCACGAGCCCTCTTTGCGCAATCGGCCTGGGAGTCCGTCTTATTCTCCACCATTGCCATCGTCTAGGGTTTCCTTTCTTTGGCTTCTTATTTTGCCCTGAAAATTGCATGTTAGGTGGGTCATGCATCATCCTTCCCAACGATACACATACGAATCAAGTTTTTACAAGACGTGAAATTTGGACAAGCTTCAAGTTTCGAGAGGTTCCATAAGGGCAATCGGGCCTAGTATATGGTACGGATATGATTTTAAACTCTATGTTTACTTCGCACTCGATCGATTGTTAGGCATGGGGCTGTAAACTTGAGCGGGATATTAAAATTCATCGAAACTAATCACATCAAAACGCGTGTTCTTTTATTGAAAGATAACTCATTGTATTAAACGGGACAACGACAAATCCTGATTGGAAGGAAAATTAGTGAGGGTGCAAGAAAATTACTCAATACAATAAGAATGTTGATCCCTTGAAAGTTAAGGTCTTATGTATTATTTGGGTAAAAGTCGCCAAAAACCCTAAACTATGCCTACTGTGACATATTTATCCTACACTTTTTTTTGATACCAAAATCCCCAAACTTGTACAATGTGACACATTTACCCAAAACTTCTATCTATGTGACACATTTACCCCAAAAATTTGGTGTCACAGAAACAAAGTTTGGCTCTTTTGGTGTCACAAAAAAAAGTTGGGGTAAATGTGTCAGAGGTATAAGTTAGAGGTTTTTGGTGTCACAGAAAAAAATTTGGGATATATGTATCACATGCGTACATGTTAGGAGTTTTTTGTGTCATAAAAAATAATTTAGGGTAAATGTGTCACATAAGACAAAGTTTGGGGTATTTTGTGGGTTTTTCCCTTATTTTTATTTGTAATCCTTAAAATCAAATTGTTACTATACGTAGAAGAGAATTTACTCCTTGGTTGGAACTTTCAAATAGATGATCACATAGGGCATGAGCACACAGTCATCATTTCAAGCTTCCAAATTCTGAGCAAATGTGTTATCAGGATAAGGTAAGGATGTATAGTTCTCGTTCATTTCACATTAGGATATAATGGATATACATGTCCAAAAATATTTGGTGATATCCACATCAAAACGTTGCATACTTAATTATAACTGTGATGATTAGTTAAAAGGAAATGATAGATAAAACTCTATCGAGCGTTTGATTCGCTTGATCCAATTCTAACTTGTAACAATTTTCTAAACTTATTGCATTAATATCAATTCAGTGCTAAACCTTTTAATTGGGCCAATTGAGTCATAAACCTTTTCTTGTTTTGCCAATTGAGTTCATCTAGCCATTTTTTGACTGGAAATCATTGACGTGGACGCGGCCGTTCTACGTGGCATGGCCAATGTAGAATGGTTAGCATTGACATGGACATTTTTAAATAATATTTAAGTAATTTTTGAATTTTTATAATATTTTTGCTCTTTTTTTTGTTATTATTTCTTTCTTTTTTTTGCCCTTTTATTTTGGCTAGGGAGGGCTAGCAAGCCCTCGCCTAGTGTAAAAATTAAATAACAAAAAAATGTAAAAATTCAATTTAAAAAAAAATTACGTCAGTGCCGGCCATGCCACGTAGGACATTCAACGTATACATCAGCGATTTCTTTGGCCGGATGGACTCAATTGACAAAATAGGAGAAATTCCAAATAAGGGCTTGAATCAAATAAGGGCATGAAGTGCTCTCATTTTCTCAAATAAAGACATGAAGTGGATCTTGCCTCAAATAAGGACATGAAGTGGCCATATTAGTCTCAAATAAGAACTTGACCTCAACGACTAAAGGGTATTTTCATCTTTTACTTTTTACTTTTACTTTTTTTTTTGTTTTCCTTTTCCTTTTTTTCCTCTCTTGGCTAGGGTCGGTGACCTCCGCCGGCCTCAGGTGGAGGCCGCCCTCGCCGGTGTCGGGTGACCCTTGCCCGACGTAGGCTGGATGGCTCTTGCCCGATGCCGGCAAGGGTTGCCTTCGCTTGCCCAACTTAGGCGAGGCAACCCTCGCCCGACGCCGGCGAGGGTGGCCTTGCCGGTAGAGGTCGTCAGTCAGGCATAATGATGGCTGGGAGGGAAGAACAAAAAAGGAAAAAAGAAAAAGGAAAAGAAAAGGAAAGTAAAAAAAATATATACTTATAATTTTTCTGACTAAAACGCCCTTTTTTTACGACGGAATGATCATTGGCCAGCCAAAGGTCCTTATTTGAGACAATTTGGCCACTTCAGACCCTTATTTGAGATAATTTGTTCACTTCAAATCCTTTTTTGAGATAATGTTCACTTCAGGCCTTTATTTGAGAAAATAAGGGCACTTCAGGCCCTTATTTGAAATTTTCCCGACAAAATATGCAAAGGTTTAAGACTTAATTGGCCTGAAAGGTTTGTGACTGTATTGATACTAATGCGATGAATTTATGACTTTTTTTATACTTTTTCGGCTAAACGTGCAAGTAGGTTTTATCTTTCCAACTCCACCTTTTCAACATTTTACCCTTCCCCTCTCCCTATATATCCATCTCATTGTACTTTATTACTACTTTTTTAGTATGCACCTCCACATAGTTATCTTTTATTTGCATTATTTATGCATTAGTGGATTTCAATCTTCATCATTTTTTTCTTCTTTTTATTTAGACTTTTTGCCCATTTATTTGCATAGCTATATAGCCAATTCTACTCCGAAAAAATCAGATTTCTTTTTCCCCATTTATTTGCATAGCTAAAATTTCATAAGCATTTAGAAATCATGTTTAGGTTAGGCATGCATTTCAAATTAAGATATTTGGGAAAACTAACCATGGTATGGTTATGCTTTGGTTTACATTAAGGTTAGCCCTATTTTTAGCATTTTACTTTTTTCTTTAGTTTATTGAGCGTTTTATTGTTGATTACGTATCTGCATGATTACTCTTACATATTATAGGCTTAGGTTTAAAATCAATCAAGTCTGCTTGCAAAACTAATTTTGAAAATAAAGAGAAAAGTATAAAAAATGCGTTAGATTAATCTAGCATAATCAAGTCCTCGAATCCGTTGAATTTATGGTTCGTAGAAGTCAAATATTCTCCCAAAATTTACTTGGGTTTTAAATCTACCATAATTGATTAATGGCGGCTCCAAAAGGTAAGGAAATTACATTAAAAATTGAGTGCTAAGTTGTGATTGGTAGGACTTGGGAGTGTCCATGCTAAACGCAAGCAGCTGCCTCTTGAGAGGAACCTTCATTACGTTTAGTAGTCCATTAGCTTTCACTTAGTTGTTTTATCATTAAGAAGGTCGCGGCAGCTTGGCAATTCCATTGGAGATTTGAATTAAGCTTAATAGTGGACTTAGGCATGAAGTTTCTCTTTTTCATAAATATTATTCTTTGACAGTATGAAGACAAGGTACACCGCTAACATCAAGTGTTAAGTGTTTGCTAACCTTTATTTTGTAGGGAGGTGTTGAGGGATATGATCTTAAAGTGAGACCAAGTAGTAGAGGTTTCGCTTCTCAACCCCGAAAGTTCTTTCTTGGTGTCAAAAGTATTTATCCTTGTCCGCGAAATTGCGTGACTAGGATAACCTTTTGACTGAGCAGGAGCTAAAAGGACTCAACTCTTGTACGCGAAATTGCGACTTGTCGAACCATCCTCTTGACTCCATTTTGAAGCATTCTAGTTTAGATGTTAAATCTCATGTCTCGTGTGTGTGTCTATGCGATTGTCATTCTCCCTTGGCAAAGCAAGTTTCCTACACAATTTATTAGGGAGAAGAACACTATAAGTGCCAAAAATTTTCACCGGCTTACTTAAGTACCAAATCGAAAAAAAAACAATCAGTTAACTGCCAACGGCGAGAAATTCCGGCCAAATTGATTACATGGCCTTTATAATTAATTTGTTAATATGACTTGGCAATTTTTTTTAAATATATAGTCCATGTGGACTACAAAAACCACGTGGCACAGCCTACGTGGCTCGGACGTCCAAATCAACGTCACACAGCATGCTTTCCATTCCTAGCTCACCAGAACCAGGAAGCAGAAGTTGAAGAGAGAGAGAGAGAGATGACGGCGGCGACCATCATCACTGACGACGGAACCTCTGGCGAGGGCTTGAAGATCGTGTGGAACTAGCCCTAACAAAGGTTGAAGATGGAGTACAGGAAGGCTGGGCTTGGCTTCCCATACATTCATCCCTTGAAGCAAGGCGTGGTATTGGCTTTCCATCTCTGCGTCTCCGCATTCCAACACGCCAAGACCGACTCCATGTCTATTATCCTTGCTTGCTCTCACGTCTCGGTCTGTTTGAAATCCTTTGTCCACTTCCTCTGTTCTTGATTTATCTCCTTGCCATGCCCACTAGGTGTTTGAGGAAATTACTCTGATGATGGAGCTGGGTTTTTTATTTCTTCAGTGTTGCTTAGTTATTAGAAGAATGAAGCTATTCAATGTTCTAGAACACAACGGGGATTTGAGGGAGGAAGAAGAAGAAAAGAGCGAGAAGGAATGTGGGGAAGATGATTGTTGAAGAGCTCAATGGGAAGAAGGTTGAACTACAACTGCCCACCTTCCCCTTCTCAATTTCGCAGAGATCACCTTTCGGCGATAGGTGCACCTTCGTCGCGCCACGGCAATACACATTCTCTGCTAATTATCGCAAGCCACAAGAGAAAAATCCAAAGTCTTCTACGAAACAACAATCGAATCGTAGTCACAAACAAATAGCAGCATACTCATTTCAAATGAGACGTAGAGAGAAAGAAACAGAGGGAGGGTGAGAGAGAGATTGGGTGATCGGGTAAGACACGAGACGGCCAATCCAATGGCCAGCTTAGGGTTTGAAATTGGGATTCTTTTTTAATTTGACGATTTAAGATTCTTATTCGGGGGAAAGCTACTAGACGAGGTTATTTTATGCTTTAGATGCTAACTGAACTCTCCGGCGAGTCACATCGGCTTAAGAAACTAATAAAAAAAAAGCCACGTCAGATTTCTAGCCAAAAGATCGGAGTTGGCACTGAAATGAGCATTTTTCAAAAAATTTGGCACTTAAATGATCAAGAAAAAGCTTTTGGCACTAAAGTGAGCGCTGTACATAATTTTTTGCACCTTCAGTATCCTTCTCCCTACTTTATTACGTAAATTATTTATATTTATCATATTTTCGCGTCATTTTATGACAAGCAAGTCAATCATTGTACAATTTGAAAAACACTTTAAATCAATGATTTCAAAGTTCATAATTTCAATGTTTCATAAATTAACAATTTTTCATTGCTGACAAAATAGCCGATTGACCATTGGACAGATCTTCCTAAGTTGTTGTACATATTGTCAATTTTTCTTAATTCAAGGTATATTGTCACATCAAGAGGACATTGTCGCACTACCAAATTGAAGGAATGGCTTCCAACAGAGAGGATGCTCGGATTACGCACCTTCAATCCCAAATGAATGACTTGCGTGACATGCTATTATTCTGCACGATGGCTTGCACCAACTTGTTGTGGTTCCACCTCCCCCTCTTGGATGTAGTCATGGCCACGGTTCGGAACCGACCGGTTCCGGTTCGGAACCGGCGGTTCCGGTTCGTGGCCAAGTATGAACCGGAAGGTTCCGGGCCGGTTCATAATTTTTCTTTTCTGTTTTTTTTTTCTTTTTCTTTTCTTTTTCTTTTTTTTTTCTTTTCTTCCTCCGCTGGCCATAGCCGGGGCCGGTGGAGGTCGCCGGCCTCAAGCGAGGCCGCCCTCGCCGGCGTCGCGGGCGAGGGCCGCCTAGGCCGAGCCGGGCGAGGCCGGCCTCGCCGGAGTCGGGCGAGGGCTCGACCTCGCCGGCGTTGGGCGAGGCCGACCTCGCCCTAACCGGCGAGGTCGGCCTCGCCAGATCGGCGAGGGCTCGACCTCGCCGGCGTCGGGCGAGGTCGACCTCGCTCGCAACCGGCGAGGCCGGCTCGCCGACGGCCGGCGAGGCTCGACCTCGCCAGGCACCGGCGAGGCCGGCCTCCCCTAAGGCCGGCGAGGTCGAACCCTCGCCAGATCTGGCGAGGCTCGACCTCGCCGGCGTCGGGCGAGGTCGAACCCTTGCCAGATCTGCAGCTTCTTCTTCTTTTTTTTTTTTTTGAACCGGGCCCGGAACCGGCAGTTCCGGGCCGGTTCAAAAATTTCTGGAACCTAAATCGGGCCCGTAGGGCACGGGCCGGTTCCGGTTCCAAACCGCGGGCCTTGTCAACGGGCCGGGCCCGGGTTTGACCGGGCCGGTTCCGAGCCGAAACCGGCCCGTGGCCATGACTACTTGGATGGGAGATGATTCAAATAGAGCCCATTAGCGTCAACTCGAAAGGCAAGATTGTGATAGCAGAAAACTCTTTTACGTTCCCTGATCCAACGAAATTGTACACCTTGCGCCCCAAGTAAATCTATAGTAAATCTTTTCAATGTACCTTTTATTAAGTGTTGAGGTCCCAATCTTGGGAGTGCACTTCCTTGGAGAATAAGTTATTCTCCTCACCTTTTTCCATGGTTATTCAATGTTCCTGTCCGTGCTTTTTTCATTCTTATAGTTTAGTCAATACACTACTACACATTTTAGAAATTTTTTTATCTCAATGTGTGAATGACTGGGTGAGAATATCTTTTCTTTTGCCTAACCAAGAAAAAACCTATCTTACATGAATTTAAAATTGAGAGAGAGAGAGAGAGAGAGAGAGAGAGAGAGAGAGAGAGAGAGAGAGAGAGAGAGAGAGAGAGAGATGTGTGACGAGGATGTGTTTTGAGTGACAATAAGTTGATAGAAGGCGATCACGGTAAAGATAAAGTTTTTTTTTTTTTTGGTAAGGAACGGTAAAGATAAAGTTCATCACTAATGGCTAAAAGAATACCACCAGTTAAGGATAAAGGACTTCGAGATGGATAAAGTTCACCATCAAGACCTAAAGGAACATCACCAGTAAAAAATATAGAACTTTTGGTTCATCACCAAATAAATTGGATTAAGAACCCAAGATAGAAACTCATTCCCTTGATGAAAATTATATATATTCATCAAATTATCAAGTCTTGTTCGTACAAAATGAGATTGCACCTTTATTTAAAGAGGGACTCTAATTAAGCAAAAAAAAAAATTACTCTTAGAATTCTAAAAAACCACAACAATTCTATGAATCGTTATATGTTTATGACTCTTCAAACTGACAACACACTTAAAATTGACTTGTAACCCACATTACCATTAAGATGCATAATAAGTAGGATTACATGCATTTAACTAGGACTAGATGCAAATAATTTAAATTAGACTCTCCAAATTCTTCCACCAGCCTTGGAAGCCGAAAAACCACTTTAGAAGATCAACCAACATTAAGGAAATCGATCAGAACAACCTCTAATTACTAGATAATCAATTAGGAGTCTCGAAGTTGACAATAAAATTGTAAATTGGTATCTTGATAGTTGATTGGCAACCATGAAATCGATAACTAGTCCATTGAATCAACAACTCCTTTATAGAATCGACATCTTCGACCTTGAACCCATCGAATCAAACTATAGCCTAAATTGGCCTTTACTTGCAGGAGTAAGGACCGGTCTTAGTCAAACACTGAGACCTAAGTTGAGCTTGAGAGTTGTTCGATAAAATAAGATGCTCCCGCATGAGAGAGTGAGTTGGTTTGTCATTCAATTACTCTAAAGCTTCATAGGTCTTGCATTTTCATGTTTAGTTACCAAATTATTGATGTTAAATGCAAAAACACGCACGGGAATTGCAAATCGAATTTAAAACCGCGACGAAGAAAAAGAGCGATAGAAGATCCGATAAAAGTGTTATCATGCAACTGGGCATTTTCAGAACTTTGGGTACTAAAAACAAGCCGATTCAGAAGGCACACCAGGGAATCAAATCGAATTAAAAAGGGAGACTGGATTTTGTAAACGCTTATCCTTCAAACAAGTTCTAACATGATCCGTTTCACGCTCTAGCTTTAGGACCAAATAGTTTTGATCACACCGGAGAGAATTTTTATCGTAAACTACCATGTCACCAGCCCATATGGTGTGCGTGAGCCTACTCAGCTCCACTCAAAGGGCGATACGTACCTGTGATCAAAATGGTAAAAGCTTATTCTTAATCTGATAACTGCGATACGCCACCTTCCGTGCATGCTGATTAGTCTTCTTGTCAGTGAGAGTGACATTTTCAGCCATTTGTTCATACTTGACAGCGAGAGTCCGAGTTTATCCATGCCAGAGCCAAGGAAGTTAGCTGAAAACTTTCGCATAAGGGGTTTAGCAACATCAAAAGCTAGTTTGCCACAAGAGTTTGCCAGTCACAAAGCTCTCGGTAATGCTTTTGAGTTGTTACTGATGCTGATTATGCTTTCGCCAAAGTTGAATCAACAAATATTCTTTCTTTACATTGCTTGTTCGAACGTATCATCTGATTCTTTTGGCAATGTTGAGAACTAAACCAGTCCGTTGAGGCAAAAGACGAGATAATAACTAAAATTGGAAAAAAATGCCCCGCAAGTTACTTGATGGATTTTGCTCGTCAGTCTTCACAGGCAGAAAAAGAAAAGGCAATTCGCCTGTCTAATGTTTTTTCCCCTTGAAAAAGAAAATGAAGGCGCTGGAAAACAAGAAGAAAGAAGGCGCTAAGTGCAACCTTCTCCATGCGATGAGGAAGAGATCAACATCATGCGCGCTTGCCATCAGTATTCATGTCCAATCAGTAGAGGTGTCAAAATGGGTCTTAAACCCATATATGACCCATTTAAAAATAAATGGGTCATATATGGATCACTTTAATTTTAAAGAGTCAACCTTAAATGGGTTTTAAATTTTAAAGTTTAAAGATAAATGGGTCTAAATGGGTTGAGTTTGGAACCCATGTCCAACCCACCTACTAAACCCATCCACACACTCTCTCCCTCTTTACAAAAATGTTTAAAAAAAATCGAAATGTAATTATTTTTTTTCTCATTTTCTTTTATTTTTTCTTTTCTCTTCTTTCTTTTTCTTTTTTTTTTATTTCGGCCGGTGGTCGGCCACGGCAACCGGCCACCGGGGCGGGACGACCTCGCCGGAGGCCGGCGAAGCTCGAGCTCGCCGGCCTCGGGCGAGGCTCGAGCCTCGCCGATCTGGCGAGCCTCGAGCTCGCCCAATTCCGGCGACCTCGAGGCTTGCCCGATCCCGGCGAGGTCCCAGCCTCGCCGACCTGTGGCGAGGCTCCAGCCTCGCCTGAGACCGGCCAGGCCTCGGCCTCGCCAGATCGGCGAGAACGAGCTTCGCCGGCCTCCGGCGAGCTCGTCCTCGCCTGTGGTCGGTCGCCGGCCACAGCGGCCGGCGATCGGCCAAAAATAAGGGAAAAAGAAAAAAATAAAAAGAAAAATAAAAAAATAATTAAAAATTCGATTTAGAAAATAAAAAAAATTCTTTATGGAAAATATTTTTTAGAAATGTCACATTTTTCGTAAAACAAATAGAACCTCAATTTTAAAAAAAACTATAAAAAATTTTCACTAGTTTTGTATTGCATAAAATGTTTTAGCAGTATAATTTTAAAAAAAAATCATAAGAAACAAGTATTCCTAGATTATGTTAAATATAAAAGTGTTTTAGCAATATGGGTCGGGTCGGGTATGGGTCGAGATATTTACACTATGAATAAATGGGTCATAAACGGGTTAATGGGTCAATTTGGGTCGGACCATTTATGACCCGACCCAAACCCGACCCGACCCGACCCACCCGTTTAACAGGTCTACCAATCATAAGCATGAATTGCATCCTCCTGATTTGCCTTCTAGTAAATGTCCAAATAATTAACAAGGCTCAATTTACAGAACAACAGTGTACTCACGGTAGGAGATACGTACGGAGCATCGTTACTAGTTTACGCAAGAAATAATCACCAATTCACAGCTACGAAGCACCGACACCTTCAGTCGTCCACCGTGTCGGTGTTGGACACACTCCAGACACGTGGTCAACGCGTGTCGGACATCCGACACGCGGTCAACGGGCCGGATACACGTTTTATTTTTTCCAAGTTTTATGAATTATTGAAATGAAATATAGTTGAATTTATCAAATTGAAACAATGAATGATATTAAGAAATGGTGGATTAATGATTTTAGCATAAATTCATTTTAGTCTCTCTTTTTATTATTTATCTATTTGTAGATTTGAATCAAATTAATTTGTCATATATATATAAAAATATACATTTAATATGCAACATGTCCTAACGTGTCACGTATCGTGTCACGCGTCGGTGTTACGTAGGTTCACAGTGGTCTCTCTATTAAAGGATGGGCATGCTCTTTTTCTAAGAATATTTTAAGGAAGAAAAGCTAACAATTACGTCTTCCCACCCTTAGACTAAAAGAAACAGAACCCAATAATATACTCAAGAATCATAGATCCGGACTATATTGGAGATCGTCTGCCTAGAAACAGGGCATTTTGGTGAAACCTCCCGTCCCACAAATAATGCACATTGCTGACAACACACGAGATGACCGCATGGAACAAAAGCGGATCTCCTCCTCCTCATTAGACAAATTACACAAAACTGCCCATCTGGTACATCTCTCGATTCATCATCCTCTGAAACGGGAGTGTTGAGCTCGTCGACTGCAGCATGGCTCTGCTGCTGCTGATCATTTGGTCTACGCTGCCTCCACTCTTTCCATCTGTTCCAATTTCTGAGGAAAGAATATTCAGCATAAGTCCAATAAAGTCAAAGATTATCACATCTTGAAGTCAACAGGATATAGAATACGGATGACAAATTACTTGGTTGATAGCAACCAACCTTACAAAAGCAAATCCAAGGATACCAATTGATGCTGATCCAAGAAGATTACTACTCCAGAAGAGTATCTTTGTCCGGAAGGCATGATAAATCACCATCTGATCTTTTGTCAACTCGGTACTGAAAAATGTCAAAGCACAGTCCATTCAATAGTAAATGACACTGTCAAGGAAGGGCTGCCAGTGCAAAATCCAAGTAATAGACCCTAAAGCATAATTATGTCAACTACCCGAGAGGGAGATACAAGATGGTCAATTCTTAACAACTTGAGTTATGTGAAGCGGACTGTTCGTTTACACAACAATTCATACTCAAACAAATGACAAGCATCAAAGGGAGAGGCGCCACAATTTCTTTTGACAGGTAACGGGAGAAATACTAGAATAATAGGCGGTTGTGCAGATCACCCAAAAATCCATGAAATCACAAGACTGTTGAACTCTCCATGTTATGCAAAATGCAACCAGACAGACTTCCAAACAGGAAATTCACTACAATTTCACATCCTTCTAGAAACCTTGACCAAAATTAGAGAGAATAAATTTGCACACATGGGTCGATTTATTATAAAAGAAAAAAGTGCACATGGGTAATAAGTCCACAAATGGGAAAAGAATCTCTTCAAGCAAGCATCAAGACTAATCCAATGTCCATCCATCACCGTGAGAGGAACACTCACAGGAAATAAGGAAGATCATTGCATGGCTTGATCTCCGGAATTCCATTTTTCAAAAAGCAATGGCCAACGGCACTGACATACTTTCCTATTGGAAGAATTTTCTCCTCATCAAGCAGTCCAACCTTCAAAAACAGAGGGAGAAGAGTATAGTATCAGATACTTGTATCAAAGTGAATGCATCAAAAGTACACAATTGAAGGAACGGCAAGGTCTAGATTATCCTGAAGATCTTCAAGGTGCAAGAAACATCGCAGTTACCCATCTGCATCAAGAAGTGAATGTCATTAGACGTTGCGAACTTACAGGGTATTCATGACCAAAAAGTGCCCGAAGGAATGTGTAAGGAGAAGCATTAATCGGCTGCAGTTGTTGATATACTGTGGTAAGAGGTAGATGATGCTTTGAACCATCCATATTCACAACAACATAATTATCTACTGGCATCTGACTGCCATTACTGAGTACAAAAGGAACCCGCAGTCATAACAGATGTAAGCAAGTCGGACGACTAAAGTAGTAAGCCAATAATTCACTGCTCTGTTCTAAGATATAAGGCAACTTGACATGGTTTAGCTTTTCAGTCTTGAGCATTTAGTTATTATGCTTCTGTTCTCACATTGTGCGCTGGAGATTTGAGAATTCAGAAGCCAGAGGTTCCTCTCTTTTTGGCCGACAGAACTGAAGATTCCTCAAGAAAAGTTTGCGTAGAATCATCTTATTGAGATTGTCTTTATAAATTAATTTCTGTAACACTTTTTCCTGTTGTTGATGGTCTAAAGGAAGGCAGTAACGTCCCTTCCATCATGATAAACACATCAACTCTTACCTGCTCTCTAGAAACTCAGTTGTTCTAAAAGAATAGAAATCTCCCTGCCTTTTAATTTGGCATAAAGTACAGACTCTATAGTGCAACATCCCGTCATTCAGGACATGAATACCATATGATGTCCCATGGAAACACCAATTTTAACATGTCTACAATCACGGTTGTATGTAGTATCCCAGACATTTCCAGGGTCAAGGTCAAAAATAAAAATGTGATATTACCCCTTAAACCAGAAGGAGGTCCATGGTTCCTAGCTGAAGAAAAATATTGTGTAAAGTAATGTTGAAAAATTTGAATGGCTTCGAATCAAAGAGCAATCAAGTCGGACTTTGAGGCGTGATATCACTTTCCTTAAGGATTTATTTGCCCCACAATGTTGTTAATGGTCACCGGCAAAAATTCTCCAGGATACAACAAAGTCTCAAAATGAGAATACTAGATAGCAATTCTAGTATTTCTCCAGGGTCTCTCTAGAAAACAATTGAAAATGATGGCTGTAGTTTTTCGAAAGAAGACTTGAAAAAATTGATTAATTTTCTTTCTCGCCAAAAACTGACATATATAGAAATCGGTCTTCATAGGCAACTCTTCACGAAAGGTTGCAAAGCTAACAAAGATATTCATTCGGAAGAAGTTGCAAACTGAACAAATGCAACCCTTCGGAAAAGGTTGAAAACTGAACAAGTATAATCTCCAAAAGTTGTCTTGAAAAGACACATGTAAAATTCGGAATAAAATAAAATAAAAAATATATATAAATAAAATTCCGAATTTTCATAATTTCGAAAATTATTTAATAAACAAAAAACAACCTTTCAACTAATAAAGATTAAGGAGATAACCTTACGAAATAAAATAAAAAATAAAGGGATTAGAGCTAATTAAACCGCGGCCACGCAAAGTGCTAAGTGCTAAGTGCGCCAAAATCGCGCAATTATTCGCGCACCCGCACGCGGGTATTGTGTGGACTAGCACACACCCCACTGTCTTCACTCTAAGGAGTAAGAAGACACTCACAGTTTTAAAATGGCCCACTTACCCAAAACTTTCCTATGTGGGACAAAAGAAAAAGCATTGTTTTGTTTGTTTTACAAACAAACATCCAACAATCCCCCACTTTGTTTGTAAAACAAAGATTTAAAAAAAAATTTTAAAAATTTTAAAAACCATACAGCCAAGATTTCGGTGAGATTAATATACATGCATAAAGGTCTCTTTCGAGTTAAACCTTTACTTAGTGCAAGTATCTCAAAACTCTATCAAAGTGACAAGTAGCTCGGCTTTAAACTTGTACTTTTAAATAATAGAATCGGACATACCGCACATATACTAACCTCTTGTTTCAGCGAGAAGTTCTATATTACTCCGCACTATTATGGCCTTGTGCTTGATCCTGTTTCATGAGCTCTCTAGAGAGTAACCCAAACTTTCGTAAGAAGCGGCACCACTCCTAAGCTTATATAGGTGAAGTATCTATCATGTGTTTCTGTTACTATTAACACATTACAAGTTTGTACTATACTTCATTAAGAATTCAATTCATCCTCTAAAACGTAACAGACGATACTAACTTCTCATATTAGGGCTAGCGTCAGTATCAAACAATCACATTCAGTAACTTGTTCTTACCCATTAAACCTTCTAACTAGTGATGTTCTAGAAAAAAGGTTGGGTTACCATTACTGGTGATTTTAATTAAAGGGTTTCAGCCCCATTTCTTGTGAGGTCATTTTTACCATATCTCTTGGTAATGCCTTTGTCAAAGGATCAGCCAAATTATTACTTGACCTCACGCAGACAATTGTTATGGTACCATCTTTAATCAATTGTCTCACAAACTCATGCCTTAGGCTAATATGTCTAGACTTCCCATTATAGGTACTACTATAAGCTCTTGCCAAAGTAGCCTGACTATCACAATGGATAGAAATAGGAGGCATAGGACTAGGCCATAATTTGATATCCAACAACAAATTCCTAATCCACTCAGTCTCTTTCCCAATTGCCGCTAAAGCAACAAATTCTGACTCCATAGTTGAGTGAGTTATACATGTCTGTTTCTTGCTCGCCCAAGAAACAGCACCTCCACCTAGAGTGAAAACCCATCCTGAAGTGGAATATTTATCACCCACACTTGTAATCCAACTAGCATCGGTGTATCCTTCTAATACAGCTGGATAATTATTATAGAACAAGCCTAAATTTTTAGTTCTCTTAAGATAACCAAAAATTCTAGTAATAGCTTTCCAATGTTCCATATTTGGATTACTAGTGTACCTACTCAACTTGCACACAGAATAAGCAACATCAGGTCTAGTACAATGCATCGCATACATTAAAGACCCTATAGCACTCGCATATTCAAGTTGTGCTACAGCCCTACCAGTATTATAATTTAATTTAATACTGGAATCAAATGGAGTACTTATGTCCTTGAAACCAAGATGTTGAAATTTATTTAACATTTTTTCAATGTAATCGCATTGGCTCAAAGAATAACCCCCACTATGTTTTTTAACTTTAATACCTAAGATAGTATCTACTTCACCCAAGTCTTTCATTTTAAACATGGAAGTTAGATACTTCTTAGTCTCAATAATTCCAGTCATATTTGTTCCAAAGATAAGCATATCATCAACATATAAGCACACTAAGACACCATAGTCTTTAGTGAATTTAGAGTATATACACTTATCAGCACTATTGTGAATGAAACCATTCGATAATATGACTGAATCAAATTTTTCATGCCACTGCTTAGGAGCTTGCTTAAGTCCGTAAAGAGACTTAGTCAATTTACATACTTTCCTTTCATTTCCAGGAAGAACGAAACCCTCTGGTTGTTCCATGTAAATTTCCTCATTTAAGTCTCCATTCAAGAAAGCAGTCTTGACATCCATTTGATGAACGCAAAGATCATAAATGGAAGCTATAGCAAAAAGAATTCTAATAGAAGTTATACGTGCAACAGGAGCATACGTATCAAAATAATCTATTCCTTCCTTTTGTCTATACCCCTTGGCCACCAATCTAGCCTTAAAAGTTTGGATAGAACCATCAGAATTGTATTTCCTCCTAAAGACCCATTTACATCCAATAGGCTTGGATCCTTTCGGTAAATCAACTAACACCCAAGTATTGTTGGACATAATTGAGTCAATTTCATCATTTACAGCTTCTTTCCAAAAAGAAGCATCTCTAGAAGACATAGCATCACTAAAACATTTAGGATCGTCTTCTAAATTTAATACTATGGGGTATTTATTTACCACGTTATTTTCTCTATCTCCTTCAACAAGGAAAACATGAGTAATATAATCTGGACCTAAATCCTTAGATTTTCTTGCTCTAGAGCTTCTCCTCAATTCAGTCATGTCTCTAGAATCATTTGTTCCTTTCTCTTGAGAATCTACATGAGTTTCTATAGGTCTTGAATTATTTTCAATAATTTCAGAACCTGTAGAACATTTGTTCTCAAAGAATTCAACATCTCTTGATTCTACAATGACATTGGATTCTAAGTCAAGAAGCCTATAAGCTTTACTGTTTTCAGCATATCCAATAAAGACACTTTTGATAGCTCTAGGACCAAGTTTAGTTCTCTTGGGGTCCGGTACTCGGTAGTATGCCAAACACCCCCACACTTTAAGATATGACAAGTTTGGTTTTCTACCCTTCCATATTTCATAAGGACTTATGTCATTTCTCTTGGATGGTATTCTATTATGAATATGACATGCAGTAAGCAATGCTTCTCCCCAAAGATTAATTGGTAGCTTTGAATTCGAAAGCATACAATTAACCATTTCTCTGAGGGAACGATTTTTCCTTTCGGCCAAACCATTTTGTTGTGGAGTGTATGGTGCCGAAACTTGATGAATGATACCATGTTCTTCACAGAATGAAGAAAATTCATTCAAGAAATATTCTCCACCTCTATCTGAACGTAGAACTTTGATTTTCCTTTCCAATTGATTTTCTACTTCAGCCTTATATTTCTTGAACATGGTAAAAGCTTCATCTTTCGTCCTCATGAGATAAACGTATAAATATCTACTGCAGTCGTCCACAAAGGTAATAAAATACCTTTTACCACCTTGAGTTAACATGCCATTGAATTCACATATATCACTATGCACCAATTCCAATAAATTCGAATTTCTTTTGACACTAGGAAATGGTTTCTTAGTTAATTTAGACTTAGCACATATTTCGCATTTATCGATGTCACCATTGAAATTTATCAAGTTTAACTTTTTCATATTCTTTAAATAACGAATATTTATATGTGCCAACCTACTATGCCATAAAGATAGAGACTCAACAATATAAATAGAAGTAGCGATATTATTATTGATACTCAATTGATACATGCCATCATTGGCATAGCCCTTTCCAACAAATAGCCCATTCTTCGACAGGATAACCTTGTCGGATTCAAACAAAACCCGAAACCCCCTTTTACAAAGTAAATCAATAGAAACTAGGTTTTTCCTAATTTCACACACATTAAGAAGAGTTATCTTCTTTCCAGAAGTGAAATCTATCTCCACCGTGCCTTTGCCAGCAACCTTTGCAAGAGCATTATTCGCCATCAGGACCTCTTGAGCATTTGTGTCGACAGTCTCTTCAAATTGCTTGAACAAATATTTGTCCTTGCACACATGAACTGTCGCTCCAGAATCTAACCACCAACCGGATTGGACAGTGGCAGAATTGATCTCAGAAATCATAGCCATCGAACCATTGATTTCAGCAATGTTCATATTTGAAAACTTGGTTGAAATCATGGCCACATAGTTCTCTTCAACCAAATTTGCATCTGCCTTCACCGTTGGAATGTTCTTGTCCTTTGATATGCTCTTGCAATGAATACAGTCCTTGGCATAGTGTCCCTGTTTGCCGCAAACAAAACAACAACCCTTCTTCTTCTTGTGTGTCTTCTTAAATGTATGCCCATTCTTTACTTTAAAGTTCTGGCCGAATTTTCTTTTTCTCTCCACAGCATTTACCTTGGAATTATACAAAACAGAATTATCACGTGTACGTGACTCTTCCTCAATACGAAGATGTTTCTGTATTTGCTCCAAGGTGAAGTCCTCCGACTTATGCATCAGCCTTTTTCCGTAGTCTTTCCAAGTTGAAGGCAATTTTGCAATAATTGCTCCAACTTGAAAGGTTTCTGGAATTTCAATTTTGAGGGCACGAATTTTGTTGACGAGCACTTGTAATTCGTGGACTTGTTCCAACAAGGGCTTAGTA